CCCCCCTCTGCAACCAGAACACACTCCGGAGTAACCAACATATTCAATATTATTTATATGTTAATTTACATTTACAAAAATTTACGAATATTCTTTTTTAACACAAAAAAATTTGAAAAAGACAAAGATATTAAAGGTCATTCGTATGTAAAGTTTCAATTATAGACAAAAAATACAATTACATATCATTACATTTTAATATTGGAAAAAGTAAAATTTAGATTCAATTACAAATCAATTAATCATTTTTGTATACTATGTAGTTTAAAAAAAATACTCTTTAATATCAACGCAAACAATATTTAATATTTTTTTATGGATATAAGGAAATACAGTATATACGAAATTTAGTTATGAAATTTTTTGCAACATGGATATTTTAGCATATACATGTTTAGAGATTATCATGTTTATATGGTTCAATTGGTTTATTTGGTTAAGTTGGTTCAATTGATTATCATGTTTATTTCATAAGATTGCTCTTCAAGTTGCAATCTCCTAAATATATACATACCAAAATAATTTTTTTTACAAAATCTTTCTTGACTAAATTTTGTATTTTGTTTTTCCAAAAAATCAATTAATAATTCTCAATATTGTTTCTTTATAAATGAAGTTTAAATATTTTTGATATATTTGATAATATTTATCTTATTTAATTTGAAAACTGTAAACAAAAGGTTAATCCGCGTATAACGCGGGAAGTCAACTAGTTTAAAATAAATTGCTATCAAATTAATAAGAGTGATCAAATATAAGCTAAAAAAACTGATGTTTCTCAATTCACATTAATTTTTAAAGATTATCTATGTATACATATCTTATTTTTACTCTCGATAAGGATTTCAACAAATCTTTATAATGTCATTTAAAATAAAAATATGGAAAAAATCTTACGCTTTTAAAATCACCTTAAATGTTATAAATTGTATAATTTAAAGTATCTAACTTTAGGGATTTGGAAATTTCCATATTATTAAATTGAATGATAAATAGAAAAAATGCTTGCATAAGGAAAATTGAGGAATTTAAGAAACCTTAGAATTCGAGGGAAATCAAGAAAAAAGACCCAATTCAAGTTTCAAAGGGTTTTCTTTTTGTTCTCGAACTTTCCTTTTTGCCTGTGTGGCTTCCCCTATAAATTCCCAATCTTTGTTCCATTGTAGACAAGAAAATTTCTTTCTGATTTCTAATCCCTGACTTATACACCAAAACCCTAAAGCTTAACGANAACCAATGGCGATTATCTCTGAGATGCCGGAAGAGAGACCCTCGACTTCGCCGTTTAAAGCAAGCCTTGATCCTTCAAACCCACTAGGGTTTTTGGAGAAAGCCCTCGACTTTGTCGGGAAAGAGAGCGACTTTCTGATGAAAGACACGGCGGAGAAGGAGATCGCCGCTGCTGTTACGGCCGCGAAGGAGAGGTTGAGGGAAGCGGAGAAGGAGACCGTGAAGCCCATCGAGAAGAAGCTGAAGAAGGAGGAGAGTGTGACTCCCATGGAGGTGGAGAAGCCGAAGAAGGAAAGCTTGAAGCCAGAGCCCATGGAGGTGGAGAAGCCCAAGGAGGAAGTGAAACAAGAACCTGGTCCTATCGGTAAGTCTTTCGTTTTCCCCTCTTTTGAATATGTAAATTGGTATGTCACTTGTTCTTCAGAGGCCTCTTGTGAAAAATTTGGTATAGGTTATGTTTCCCTAGTTGAAAATCGGAACGAGTTTTGTCTTTCCTTAGTGGAAATTTGTTTTAGGATCTACATCAACTTGATGAAAGATTTGTGATTCTTTGCTCATACAAGGACTAGGGTATTGGAGAAAGTTTAGACCTTTAAGACATTATTAAGAGTCAAGATCCTCAAAATTTAGTCTATCTTGTTGCAAACTAACTAACTTAATGGCTGTTTGGTGCAGTTCCTAACAAAGGGAATGGGCTTGATTTTGAGAAATACTCATGGACACAGAGTCTCCAGGAGGTCACTGTTAACATTCCAGTGCCTTGTGGCACTAAATCACGGTCTGTTACCTGTGAAATCAAGACGAACCGTCTGAAAGTTGGTCTCAAAGGGCAAGAGCCAATCATCGATGTAAGTTTTTTCCTTATTGCAATCTCTCTCAATGCATCTTGTTCTCTGCTTTTTTGTTGGTTCGTTCTTGCTAAATTGTGCGACTTTTGTATGATAACAGGGAGTACTCTTCAATTCTGTCAAGCCAGATGACTGCTTCTGGAATATCGGTATGATTTGACTACTAAATCTTGAGTAAACAAAAAGAAAGAGCAAGAAATTTTATAATTTGATTAAAAACTTGGTCTTTGATGATACATACGTTGCAGAGGATCAAAAGGTGATATCGGTGCTTATGACAAAGCAGGACCAGATGGAGTGGTGGAAATATTGTGTGAAAGGAGAACCTGAAATCGACACTCAGAAAGTTGAACCAGAGACGAGCAAACTGGGTGATCTCGACCCAGAAACTCGCCAGTCCGTCGAGAAGATGATGGTAAATCGGCTTCTTTTTCCTCTATGATTATTTAGTTTGTTAGATTCATCTTTGTTTGCAAGGTTTTGACACAGGGCTTGTTTTTTTCCCCTTTACTTGTGTAGTTTGATCAAAGGCAGAAGCAGAAGGGACTTCCGACGAGTGCTGAGATAGAGAAGCAAGATATGATGAAGAAGTTCATGGCTCAGCATCCTGAGATGAATTTTTCCAATGCAAAGTTTAACTGATCATCTTTTATTCTACTCCTCTTGTCTCTAGTGATACCAAAAATCTCTTCTTCTCTTGATGATAAAACTCTTCATCTACTCTTAAGCCGTTTTTGTATTTAATTATCATCTTGTTATGGCTTTAAGATGGAAATCTGCCCTTTTCGTTTATTTCAAGACA